AAGTCAACAATGGATTAATTACGATTTTAATTTTCTATACTATTAAAAAGAATATAAGATATAATAATGATAATAATAATGAATACAGTGTGTCTCAAGGGTTGCAAAAATATCAACATAACGAAGTTAGTCACTGCAACCCTTTATATTTTCAATTTAATTAAAATAGACAAAAAAAATATTTGATGATCTCTGAAAAATGGCACATCTTCAATTAAATTTAAAATAAAAAAAATTCTTAATACCTGTGTTATGACAGTCGACAAAAGGATTTAAAGCCGAAATCTGTTGTAACGTTTTGCCTTCTATTCTCTAAAATAAATATGAGAAATGTATAAAATAATTTTTTAAAACCATATTGCAAAAATGTCAAACTTCGTTAAGATATATAAGGTTAGTCAAATGATATTTTATATAATTGTTAATATATCTTTCACATTATCTCATGTAACTTAGCAAATATAGTTAGATCCATTAGATCCATGTCTGTTATTATTCACTATACTTCTGTATCCAAATCCCTCTCTTGATTCGACACTGAAACTTAAGAAACATTATCAATCAATCAACACTTATTTTGCTGGCGATGTCAATTTAAAAAAGGGCACCAACAAGTGCAATACAACTACGTCAGCATATGACCCAATCTATATATTTTTCTTAGTCTAATCCCAATCCCATTTTCAATTAAGGTATGCCATTCAAATCCTTCAGAATTTTCGGATATGCTTTTTAGAAACGACTCTTTTACCAATGCTTTTCAAATTATAAATTTCGAATACTTTGCATACTTAATGAAAATTAGGAGACCGAATTACTTAACACATTAAAATTACTTAACACATTAACATATTGCTGTAGCAAAACCAAATCTTACTAACTTGGGATCAAAATGCCATATGATATGGACCGCTGTCCTACTAAAAATCCTATCCTATGCTAAGCATAAATTTTTTATCATATAAAAATATCACAAAAATATTTTCCAAGATGCCTTTGTAGTCGAATATGGTCAAGACATCAAGTATTTGGTGCATTGGTCTATGGTATATCATAAGGAAACTCCAGATCATTATATGTATATCAATTTATTTGTTTGAATACTTTGTTAGCTAAGCGTTAAGGAAATCTGTAGCCTTTATCGCATTAAACATATCGGGTGGAGTCATTTATACTATTATACGAATTATTTTTAAAGTCTGGTCTATACATGATGTTTTAGAAATGTCCGCTTTATTTATAAGCATTTTTTTCCAAAGTATATTGAAGTCTATGACAGAGTGTTTGATATGATATCTGCATGTATAGAATATCTTTTTAAGTGTACGTATGTATACAGTTTAATATATATAGTAAAATGCAAAATATTATTTATAAATAAAAAGTACCAGTTGAAAAGTAGTACCAGGGAAAATTTAGCAACTAGCCAATGAAACTAAGAAAACAAATATTGCAAAATACAAAATAAACGAAGCAATAAGTATCTTTTCTATATTCATTGCATTTCACTGCTAACTGTTAGATATAAATTGAAACAGTGGGAATACACATCTGCAGACGTTATTAATTCAATGATGGTAATGTCCATAAAAAATGGCGTGCTATATTTATGGTTTTTAAACGGATGGAAAATTAAATGTTTTAGAGATATTGTAGGCTTACCTTAAATGAAAACAAAATATTTTTTTAAATATTAGAAAAGTCATTGTTAGTTTTATTGAAATTGGAAATTCGAATTCGTACGAAAAATCGATAAACAAATCTAGAAATTCAATATTAAATCAATGCAAGGGGAGACGACCGTATTTATAAGTAGCATTTCAGGTCATAAGCAATAATATTGAATGTGTAGAATAAAAGCTGCAACTACCTTAAATTTGCATAAATTTTATTTACAAATTGCACCCTGCGTACATCCTTTATTGTTGGCACGCTCTCCTTTTTCCAATTCCGAGCCTCGTAACTCGATCGCCTCGTTCGACAGGTCATTTGCATAACACTGGCTAACAGATTTCCTCAATCGACACAGTTGATTTGTTAAAGTCGACTTTGCTAAATTTATGATAATGCATTGCGCAGGATTTTATGGATCAGGTCGCACTGCAAAGTTCAGTCAAAAGTAATTTATGCAAATTTTTCCGATCAACCCTAAAAGGCAATCGGAAATGACACGTCATTTCCTGTTCTTTTTGACGATTTATTGTGATGCGTAGGGTTGATATTTTATTAGAGAAATTTTGAAATCTTTTAAGTTAAGTTTGGTGTATTGTCAGAGTTAAATATGCTAATTTTTTATATTTTTGCAATGTGAATGATTTTATTTGTATGAATTTTGCAATTTTGTATTTAAAAATATGCACCACTTTCTGTTTTGCTTGTTATGCAGATTTTGTTTTTAAAATTTTCTTGACATATTTTGTTTAAATTTTAAGAATTTAAGAAATTAAAATTTTTGCATTAATTAAAATGAACGCTTTTTTTTGCAGCTGCCATGAAGATTACAAAATTAAAATCTGCTGCTTTCTTAAATAGCTCTTTAAATCAGAGCTGTCCAAAGCGGCCTGCGGCTAATATTTGTGCTGCCGGCCTCATGTTTTTAATCTACCACAATTACTCAAATTTTCTTTTGGTGCACTGGTAAAACTAAATTATTTTATTTTTATGTTATACCAAATAAATGAAGATAAATTTATAAATTAATAAAACTAAATTTAACATTTATAACCGAATTTTTATTTAACATTTATAACCGAATTTTTATTTTTATCGAAAACAACTATGAACGTATGTATTTGTTTCTGCGGTCCTCCAATCTGTACAGTATTGATCCGCGATTTCATCTGGTCTGGACAGCCCTGCTTTAAATAATAAGTGACAACATAATTCAATATTATTTATCCTTTTGACAAAATTAGAAATTTAGAGAATAATAATCTGTATATTATAAAAAAAGTATTATGTGAAGTCGTACATTTTTGATGTCATTATGATAGAGCAGGTTTCCCAGTTATCGTATATTTACTTTTCGTTCACTTCTATTCTATTTATGTATACAAATAGATATCGTATTTAAAGAAGAATTGTTATAAATTTTTTTTTGCTTTACTAATAAATATTTAAAATTTTTTCATTTAACATTTCTCCAAATTCAACTAGGGGCTCTGCCCACTGCGAGCTTCCATCGCCAACCCCTGTAATATTTATACGTACTCCTTCATATTCAGCAATATGTATGTGCTTTTAGCATTCTCTGGAAGAGACATAAATTTTTTTTAAAAATTGATTCCTATGGCAAATAGTGATTATAAGTCACAAAGATGAAGGTTAATGCAGCTATGTACTATTACAGCTCATGATTGACTTATGTTATCCTAATTGCAGTTTATCTAACTTGTTCTTTTAAGAACTGCAGTTTTACACCGCTTCAAGTGAATTAGGGATCTTAAAAAAATGAAGGGAAGGGAAGGGGATGGTAATAGATAGATGTTTTCGCATACTGTCATAGTTGTCTTTTTTTTGTTGCTAACTTATTCTTTTAAGAACTTTTTAGAACAGTTCTTTTTCATAATGCTCCTCAATGTCGAGTTGCCTCACGCTAATTAGTTGTCTTAGAGAAAAGGAGGGAGGTGTGGCGTTTTGAGTACTTTCAGTACAGCGCACTTAACTTGCTCTGTTGAGAAGTAACGATCTATTTTACTAGAGATTAATTTTCCTTTCTAGAAAGATAAACTTATATCGTGAAGAAATATTTAAACATTTTTTTCATTTAACATATTATTATTAGAAACAGCTGACTCAGCATAGTATGTTAGTTTTTATAAACCGAAGTAATCGTATGAAAATATCTCAATCTATGAAAAATATATTCTATTGTTAAACCCTTTTTCTATTTAAAGTGGTTTTATTTTAGTTGCATTTTTTATATATTACAAAACATATATTTCATACAAATATACACAAATACTTAACGTAATTATATAATACAATATATAACATATGATGAGACAAAATACAAATTCCTTTACATAACATAACAGTTCATAGGCCATTAGAAGGGGAAATTGTTTTGTTGTCGTTGGTCATATGTTTCCTTTTTTACCTAAAATTGGCGAATTTTGACAAAATATTTACATTTATTAAATTTTATTGGTGGAAATACATTGAGAACTCAACGAAAAAACTGTGATAAAGGAAATTTTTCCTGATATTCCAGTTTTATGCAATAGAACGACGAAGAGTTGTTTTTAAAAAATTGTTAAAAAGTGAGCCGAAGGGATGATTCTACTGTTAAAAAATTGTGCTGATTCAACCACTACTGCTTATAGGATCACAGCATAAGGGAAAGAGTAACAGTTATGTAAAAAATTATGTAAGCTAAAATGCGAAGCCGATCCCTTTAACGTCGCACCAATTTTTTAAGAGAGTTTGGCCGAGATTCTTCACTAAAAATTGAAGAGAGCGAATTGCCTAATTTTTGGTAATATTTATTTTTTAGGGAGAGGGTTGAGGATTACATTTGTTTTTTAATTCATTCATCTTAAAAGAAAGCAGCAGACTTTTCCTTTTTATTATTTTTCTATAATAGCAGACGACAACGGAAGAGTTGAATCAGTTTGCGCTTAGAAGCCGAGCTTGACTGTTAAAAAATTGATCGCGCAGAAATTACTAAATTTAAGAACAAAATCAAGAAACGAAATTTTCTTAAAGAAAATTTAAACACAAAAAAATTATATGAAGAAATATATTTAAGCGAATTTGTGAAAACAAAAAAATTATTTAAAAATTTATAAATGAATTTTCTGGTTTGGTGCCTTGTTGTTTAATTTATTTTAATTTGAAAATATTCCTTGAATTATAAAAATAATTGTGTGTGTTGTATAAGTACCCAAAAAAAAAAAAAATAAAAAAAATATTGAAATATATATTTTAAAAATATTAAATAAACAAAAAGTGTTGTATTATTCGATTTTGAGTTTGTTTATAAAATAAAAAATTACAAAATGTCTACACAAATGGAAATGTTAATGCAATTATATATGATGAACTTATTGCAACAACAACAGCAACAAACTCAAATTCAACAACAGCAGCAACAACACTTCTCAAAGGATATTATCAGCAGTACCACAACAGCATCCACAATAACCGCAACAGCACCAAATAAGGAAGAGCAACCAAACACAAGAACGCTTAAACGCAATAATTCGCAAAACACCAACTGTAGTAGTAGCAGTAGTTGTAGTCCCAATAGTAATTTTAGCCCCACTTCATCCGCTTTATTAGTCCCAAGTATCCAACAGTTGCTGTTTAACAATTTACCGCCAATGGCAACGCAAATGACGCAGCAGCAGACACCACTACCAACAAGTACGCCGTCAACAAATTTATTGCTAACACCAACAATAACGCCAAATTCCATGTTGTTGACGACGGCATTGTCTGCTAACCAGCAACAAGCGTCCCAAACACTGTCACTGGCAGCAAATTGCTTAAGCAGCAACAGCATAAGTAATAATTTTGCTCAAACCAATATCCCCTTGAATAGTTCACAAATTTTAGCAAAGAATTTTATTCAATCCTCCACAGTGACATCGACACCAACGGAGAAAAGTTCCTATACGCAGGAAATTTCAACGGTAGGTGAAAGCGTTAAAACCGCAGGCGATGTTGTGGATGATGAGGTCACGCAGAGCGGCACAGATGAACAAATTTTAGCTGAACAGTATGCTTGCGAAACAAAAGACCGGTTGACAGCTACCAAATCTGATGACGATGATGATGACGGTGATGGTGATGGTGATGATGATGAAGACGATGATGAGGATGAAAAACCTTTGTCAAGTTTACTCAGTTCATCTGGTAATGCCAGTACAAATGCAAGTAGTGAAAATTCTGCAAAATTGTTGTTGAGTTCAGGTGTGCACCCACTGGAGAGTACGAGTGATTCACTGGACTCTACATGCTTGGTAAGTTTTTTACTATAATAATCGTATGTATTATATTTTATATAAATTTACTAATGAGAAAACGCGATGTGTATGCATAAAGTCCTATAGAATCAAACTTGTTAAATAAATTTTTAATCAATATATTTAATTGATCTTAATACAATATTTGTAAACATGTTTTTATTTTTTTAAATATTCATAAAATATATATAGCGGGTATTGTTTCCTTTATTTTACCTCAGATAAATATTTCATGCTTGTAAATTTATTTTTGTCAAATATATTGTTCTTATCTCCAGTTAAAATCCTACAAATTAATCATTTAATATTCAAATGATTTTATAAATATTATGTTATTATGGTTTAAAATGTTATTTGATTTTTTTCAAAGTAATTGATAAAGAATTGTTACCAATTTTTCTTGTCCTTATTTTACGTCATATAATTACTTTATGTTCACATTATTTATTCCTGTTAAATTATGCTTACCTCCAGTCAAAATCCTACTAATAATCTAATTTTATAAATAATTTTATAGATATTACATTAGTATTGTTTATAAGTATATCAAAATTAGAGTATTGATTTATAGTTGGTTCAAATAGTACTCGAATTAATGTATATGTAACTAATAGGTGATGATTCTGGACATATTATTTTAACTCTTTTAAAAAAATTCCATTATGAGCTATATATGCAATGCATAAAATCTTTTTTATAAGTGAAGATATTGATATGAATCTCAACGCTTTTATAGGCTAGCAGTGATCACTCGTATCATCTCAGTAAATCGTAAAGTCACATTTGGCCTAAGAGATGCTATCTGATATGAGTTTATTGATTATAAAAATTTCACATAGAAGATAATGTTGTTTCCTCAGATTTAATAACCAACCAATTTGTAGCTTGTGGTAAATAAAGCAATGAGAGCTATTAACAAAACTATCAATGTTAACAGAAGTACTACTACTATTACTAAAATAATAAAAACTATTAGGAACTTATATAAAGTATATATCGTTTAAATAACAAAGTCAACTGCATTGATTATTTATATAAACTTTACATTGATTAAAGTTATATGAACAATTTAAAACTAGGTAGAAAGTAATAATTGGTCCAATGGTAAAATATATTTACACTTTTTACTAGATTTAAATCACCAACATTTTCAAGTCTTTTAGTTTTATTCTCCAGGCGGGAAGTATATACATATGAGCTAATAAAGAGGTGTATTGTTTAGAAGTTTAAAATCCTCCTCTTTGTCAATCTTTCTCTCTCTCTCTCTTTATTGCTCTCTCTGTTTCCCTTTTAAAAAGTTAAACATTAATTAAAAGTTAAATAAAAAGTTAAGGTATTTAGGTATTAACTTTAATCATTTAATATAAATTTTTTAATAGACTTTAAATGAAATAAAGAACGATTAATTTGTTTGAAGAAAAACCATGTTTTTACGAGAGTTTGTTCAATTGACAATTGAATAATGTAGAAACTTATGTAGACACTTATGTGTGTATCCAATAGAAAGAAATGCAGTTTATTTTGGATAAATAGATAATTTCGGGTCACTTTTTGATTTAATTTATTTAACAAAAAAAATTAAACAGTGATAGATTGTTAGATACATAAAAATTAATATAATTATTATTAATCAGATAACATTTATGGTATCTTTATAGAAAGACTTAGCTTAAATTTTACCAGATGGTTTAAAATGTTGATAAGGGGATAGATATGGAAAAAGTTAATTTAAAATATATAATTTCTTATAAAAATTGCTGGTAATTATACATCTGTTTTTAAGTATACAGCACATAATATAATTTTTATTCTTTAAAGGAAAAAGAGATATACATCGAAATTTTTTTAAATAAATTTTGATTTTGTACTCTTTGCAATAGATCTATATACTTCATTCAGAAAATCTTAATTGGAAAAATACGTTTCAATAATAATTTAAAAAAATTTAATGTTTATTAATATTTTTAGTTAATTGATAGTAACATATTATTTTATATAATATTCAGTGTATATTCATAAGAATCTTGAACTGAAATTTTGTATCTTATATTGTTTATCATAAGTTCAAGTAACAAAAAATAATCATCTATGTGATAAATATATATACATCAATATTTTTTTAATTGTATTGAATTTTTTGTCATTATTTCGTCACAGTGAAGTGCAGTTTGCATACAAAATGATCAGTACATCAGGAAATCAATAGAAGAGTAGCATTATATGGCTATGTGCAACATATAAGTATCCAATGTGCTTTACATTTGAAAAAAATTTTTTAATACAATAAAATAAAATAAAATATTCAATCTTAAATTTAGTTCCATTTTTGGTCAAAATAATTTTTAAAAATTTTTTAAAAAAACAAATATAATAATTAATATTTGAGATTACATGTAACATTCGCTCCCATGCACTTACTTTTATTTCGACACATGAATGTTTCTATCTCAGTTTTGAGTTTTAAATAAGTATATATTCTATATAAATCTAAATGAAAGCAATGGATACTGATTTGAATATAGATTTAAAATTGTTAAATGATAACAACGTAAATTTTCTCTCTGATACAAGATTGACTCAGCTATCAGTTAAAGATTCTATTAAATTTGAACTATTGTTAGACATCGCCACCTTATTTTGGATGTTATGAACATCGTTAGCAATGTACTTGGTAAAATAAAAACCAGGTTTTGTTTTAGGATTAATTTTAAAATTAATGAATATTGGACTTGCAATAGTTTTAAAAACTGTCTTTTAGACTTTGGTTATCCTCTTAACCAAATGTATTATATTCAGGAAGATTAACCTAACCTAATCTAACTAAATTTATAGGTAGGAAAATTTTTATTTTATTTCATTGTTCGATTGATTTTGGTAAACCACCCAAACTTTCTCCATTTAAAGATTGGACTTACAAATACTATCTGCGTCGCATCTCTGGAAAATATTTTGTTTATAAAGATTTTTTATTTTCTAACTTAATAAAAAAGTTAAGGAATAATTTTTTAAAAATCATTCAAAGTATTCAATATAAATTAAATTTTTTCAACGTTTTGTTTACTAATACATAAGTATATTACATAATCCGTAAAATGATATATACAGAAAACAAACTAAGCTCGTCATTAGCAAGCATGCAGCTGTGCACAACAAAGTATCTTTCTATTAAAAAACGGAAAGATATTTTTGAGTAAATAAAAATTTTATTGCTAAAAATTTGGTCGGTCAGCTTTTAAAAATTCTGCAGAAAGTGTATTTTTCCTGCGCTTACTTTGTATCTTGTGAATACACTTTCAATACTAGACGTGCTGTTGTGCTGTAGGACTTAAATCAGTTCATGCTTGATTCGTGTTTTGTTTATAAAATAAAACTGAATAATTTTTTGCTTTAACGAGAAAAATCAAAACAATTTCAATGACATTGTCATATTAATGTTCTCCACTCAAAGAAAAATAATTAAAATTGAAGTTTTTTCTCGAAAGCGTGGGTTGTCATAAAATACAATAGTAATGTTTAGCTTATAAAGGGCAGCTAATTGAATGTTTATTATTTATAAACTAAAAATTAGGTTTGCATACTTCATCAAGAATGTTTGATTTCAGTATATTCTTGAACTTATATCACAGTAGTTGATATTTTTTAATATTATTGACAAAAGAAATACAATTTTTGAATTAAGAAAAGATGTTTTTCAACTTTCCTGTAAGATTAATTCATTAGCTATATTTTATATATAATTTCTTATATAATTATTGTTATTTGTATAAATTCTTTTTTCAGCCCGACACTCCTACAAAACGTTTTGCAGATTCTTCAAACTCGTTGCAGAAATCTTTTACAATTTACAGACAAACTACAGTTGAAAATGAAGACTCAAATGTGACGCCAATAGGTCTTGCGAATGCGATATTAACTCCACCCTCAAGTGAGCAGTTAACCGCGAATACGTTCGAGTCCTCACAGTCAACGTTTGCTACTAGCGGTATTGCCAGTCTTAGCGCTATTACCACTTTAGATGCTTTCCTACAAAATGAGGAGAATCTTAAAAATTTAAAGAAAGTATCGTCGTACTTGGAATGTGGTAACATACAGTGCCAGCAGGAAAATTTGAGAGAACACTTTCACTGCCATGAAGAACCTTGTGAGAGCAAAACTCTTAGTAAGAAAGATGATATTATTCGTCATTTAAAATGGCACAAGAAACGCAAAGAAAGTTTATTGCTGGGATTTGCACGTTTCTCCACATCAGATAATTGTTCATTAGCATATGGCGCCGGTTGCGTTTATAACTATAAACAAACACATTATCATTGTGTATTTGATGATTGCACAAAGGTCTATGTTAGCACCAGTGATGTGCAGATGCATGCGAATTTCCATCGCAAAAATTCAGAAATTGTCCAAGAAGGTTTTCGCAGATTTCGTGCACACGAAAATTGCAGAATTGAAGATTGCCCATTTTTCGGTAAGAAAATATCGCATTATCACTGCTGTCGTGAGGGTTGCAACCACACTTTTAAAAATAAAGCTGATATGGGTAAGTAGTTGACAGAATCCTTTATGCTTGTAATTAAAGATTATTAATATAATTATTTTGACCGATTTTATAGAAAAACATAAAACTTACCATTTGAAAGACTCACAGTTAATACAAGATGGTTTTAAGAAAATTCTTAAAACCGAAAGTTGTCCTTTTAAAGGTTGTAAGTTTTCTTCAGTCTGCAATCATATACACTGCGTTCGCGAAAACTGCTCATATGTGCTGCAAAACAGCAATCAAATAATTAGTCATAAACGCAAACATGAACGTTTGGATGGTGAACAAGCCTATCAGAACTTCAAAAAGAATAAGGATATCAGTGAAGAAGAACCAGCTAAGCCATTGTTATGCACAAATGTGTCCACTCCACTGTCCTCACTTTCTGCTGAGCAATTCCTTGCACGTAAACGTGGACGTCCACCAAAGAAAATTGTAAGTGAAAATCAAATCATTTTAGTTTTATTGAATTTAATGTTTGTTTAAAAACTGCGATTATAAAATATATAAAAAATAAGAAAGAAAAAAAGTAATTTGATATGGGCATAAATTTTTGTTTAGATTTGTTTTTGAATATGTTTTAAGAAACGTAATTTACTTTATTATCATTTATTTATTATTTAATATCATACTTTATTATTAACATATCGTTTATAAATTTTCGTTTTGATATTTTCTTTCAGCAATTACCAAAAACTGATACAAAAGACGTCAAACGTGTTAAAACGGAATCCGATCAACAAATTCCTGATCAACCGTTTTCTTCTTCAACATTAACGAACCCACTTTCAGCAAATTTATTTGCACCGTTTTTACCAAATTTTAATCCCGCCTTAGCAGCCGCTGCAGCCCAAAGTCTTCAATCGCAGGATCTCAGCGCTCCCAACTTTCAGTTAACGCATTTAATGGCACTCTTCCAGCTCCAAAATCCATTATTCTATCAAAATCTCTATCCTGCTGGTATGGCTGCAGCTAACCTTGCTAATATGGCAAGTATGTTGGGTGCCAACTCTGGAATATTACCCCAGAGTGCTTCTATTTTTGGAAATGTGAATGCTTTTAATGCGAGCGGCGTTAATGGCATTAAAACAGAATTGAATGATAAACAACAGTTCAAGGAATAAAGAGGTAGGAAAAGTCAGATAGGAAAGTAAAATGAGATATTTGAGTTTTTGGTGCTAGGTTTTAAAACAATATTAAATATATTAAATATAGTGTAGATATTTTTAAATTCCTTAAAGGGTTTTAGTGTTCCTAAAATTTAGTGCAAAATAGCTTTCTCTAATAGTTCTTTGTATAGGTCAAAATAAAATATATTGAGGTGCTTTATAAAGGTTTAATAGTTTAAAATATTTAGAAAAAAAGTTTCTATTGCTATTATTTTGAATAAATGATTTTAAATTCAAAATAATGCTAGAAAAACTTTTTAAAAGTTTATATGATTAATTTATTATAATTATTATTTTCAAACAAGGAAAATGTTTATTTTTCAATATTTTTTTATTAAAATTAAATTCTACATTTAATAAAAAATTAAAGAAAATAGAAATTAAACTTAGAAACGAAAAGGACATTTATGTAGCTTCCGATATATTAAACTAGTTTAAATATATTTTTAAAAAAATGAGAGTAAAACTGTGATTATATTCAAAAAATGTAAAATAAAAATATACGAAAAATATTAATTATAATAAATTATAATTAGAAAAAATTACTGAGTGAGAGTTTTAACTAATACGCCTTAGATTACAATTATTGTAAAATATTATTAATTTACGATTTTGTATATAGTTAAGTAAATAATTGCAAACAAAAATAAATTGTGATAAATTATTAAATCAGTTATAACTAATTTTAAATAAAATATAAATTATGAAAAAGAACTACAGTAATATTAATTCATGAATAATAAATATTTTATTTATATTACTTTTAAATAATTTGTTTTGTGTATATAAAATATAGATGATTAGAAATAATAAACTTTGATTTAAATAAAAATTCAATTAATTGAAAAGAAAAATATATGTATTTTTGTAAAATTTTTTATATCATAAAAAATAATTTCTTTTATTTCTTGTAAAGGTTAACATATAAATTAAATAAAAAAAAAACAAGAAACTGTTTGTTACAAAAAAAAAATAACTTATGCGCGAAAGTCATTTTAATCGAGATGTAGGGTGTCAAATAAATTTCTACCCGACAAAATTATTAATCGTGAAAGCCTCAATATGTCAAAAGCGCCATATCCAATGAGCTTATTATGCGATAATTTTTTAAAAAAACTCACAATTTGTCTCGAAATCTTTGTACTAGCGCCTTACTACTGTTTGTACATTTATTGTGAAATACCATTAAATCCGAATTGAATTTAAACACCACTGAAAGTTTAATTACGACTTTTCAATAATAACGAACAAAAGTGAAAAAGCCTGACGGTATGTGATGTCCAGGCGCTTGTCACTGTACCTCGTACGTTCGTTCTACTGAAGGACATCAGGCATATAGCTTCCAATGGAAACAAATTCAAAGCAGTGGAAAATTTAAAACCGCTTGTTATGTATACCAATATTGTGTATTTAGTTCCATTGTGAACTTCCAAATAAACCAAAGTTATCAAATGTCATATTTTGCTAAATAAGTAAACCCATTAAGAATCGTTTAATTTCCTTTCATATAGCTTATAGTAAACTACTGCAGTCTGTATAATGCGGTCCAGATTAACTTTGTAATTTTTTAACAATTCTTGTGAATAGTTATGAAGAGTAACCAACGGTTGTCAAGGTGCAACCACACACGTCCTTTTCTCTACATTTTTCAACTATAACAAGTAAAACAAGGTCCAGACAACAATAGTAAAACACTATACGTACAAGGACAAAAACAACAGATTTAAAGAAAGGGGTGGACTTATGTCAGAATTTTCCTATTTGGATTTTTAATTTAGGGTCAACTTTATGCACTTTCAATACAGCACAAAATTATTTTAAACTCTTTCTTGTTGCTTTTAAAGTAGCAGATGTTTCAACAACGGTCAGTAAAAATAACAAGGTCGGATGTACACTATATATATATATATATATATATATATATATATATATATATTATTATATTATATGCAAAATTATACATTTACAAGTGTATATAATTTTAGTTTACAAAACAAAAATATTGTAAAATGCAATGTATCAACAAACTGAACCTGTCTATTAAAGAGTCTCCTATGGTGTAGTAGAATTCTTAATAAATCATAATTACGTTAACAAGAACAGACTTCCGGAATGAATGAAGTTTCTGCAAAAATCATTACAAAAGATTAAAAAAATTTTTATAATTTAAATAAAAATTTGTATTAATTAACTTTGAATTTACCTTATGGTTCACAAAGTACTCTTTGCAAATATTCTTTTTAATCCACAATGAACTTCACACTTTACTTCACTGAAAATAAAGGAACACAGGCACACGACAAAATAAAACTTGCTTTTTGTTGTCCTTTCACAACTCACTGACCACCACTCATTCGAACATACATACATTCGAACATAGTTTTAAATCAACTAAATATATTTTATTTGAAATACAATAAAATAAAGGGTGATTTTATTAAGCATGCCAATTTTGGGAAGACAGCCAGTTTATTTTGAAGGATTTGACACTGGCGTGTGGTCAAACGAAATTATGCATAAGGACTTGTGATCACTTCATCACTTCAGTTATCGTATTGTGCAGCATCATTATTATTATAAGACATATGTAATATAAAAAATTTTTTTTATAGATATTAATTATACTAGATAAATAATAACGCAATAAATCGTAGTTTGGAATGGAAAACAAAATTTGAGAAAGTAAAATATTGTTCTTTTCACGTCGTAAAACTTTTTAGAAATCGTAAACTTTACCCAAAGCATGTCAAAGATTTATTACATTCCAATGCTTAGCTTTTAACAAAACAATAGAAAATAAACAATTTCGGGTGTTGCTTACACATGTGGAATGGAAACTAATACCATGCAAATCCAGTAATAACCTCAAAAGTACTGTGCTCAGTTGAAATAGTTTTAAAAGTACTATGACAATTGTGTTCCGTTCAAATCTAAGATATCTATAATGCTAATTACTCTTCGATGGTTACTCTAGGAAACTAAGATTATATAGTTGAATTCAGAAAGAATGTCGATCCATTAAAATATCAAAAAACAGTACAGAGTAGGCGAAAGAATCGATGCATCATCGATACTTTGGAAGCTACCATCGATACAACTATATTGTCATAGGAAAACCATCATTGTTTTATTGATACCTAGCAATACTTCAAAGTATCATTGTGATGCTTTTTTGAAGTAAAGAAATTGTGGGAAATCAATATAATTGTGTTTTGAAATCAATAATTTTGTAGGGGAATCGTTATCGCCGTTATAAAATAAAGGTTATTTTCCACTCTTTGCAGCCTTGGGCACTATTTTCACTTATCCAATTGAACTAAAATTATAAACAGATTATTTTTTTTTTAGTAAAATGACCCGAACTGGATAGAGCCGTCAACTGGATTTTCAAAAAAAAAAATTGCCTATATATCTTAATGGCACCCTAATATATATATTTTATTCATTTATTTTATTTATATTGATTTTAAAATGATAGTGAAATTAATATAATGTTTTATAAAATATCATGATATTAGATCATGATTAATATATGGTACGAAGAATTAGGCCTGGAAAATCTTTTTACGCATTGCATGCCGCTCAAATATTCCTAGAGCTGTATTAGAACAGCTGTTTTGAATACCGCAAAGAGAAACCTATTAAAATATAATAAGTCACATCTTTCTATTTAAACGCAGCTCTTTTGTGATGTTTAGCTTTAATAATGCTTATTTTAAATAAGGTTGAAAAAGGTTTGGAAACCTTTTTGGTTTAGATGGATTGAAAACTGTTAAGAAATGGTTGATCAATTAACATTTCAGAGAGTAAAGAATACTCAAATTGGAAAATTATAAGATCGAAGAAATCGGAAGAAGACGAAGTATCCAAATTTGCAAAACTGAACATTCATTAATTAAATGAATTGTTCCACAAATTAGCAGTTTATAATTAAATTCAGGATTTGCGTTTCGACTTATTGATTATTATCAATAAGTCGAAATTTAAAGAGAAATTATATTAAAATTTTGTCATTGCAATCGTTTTACTCTTTAATACAAAATAATTACAAAATAGTTCTCTTAAAACTTGTCAGGGAAATTAAAGGACGATTTTAACATTGAAAACGTTTTGCATATACTTCTCATTTAAGTACTCATCCATCGTAGACTCTACAGAACTTTTGAAAAAATTAACCCATGATTTTTCCATTTTATATTATAAAATAATGGGAAAAAGCAGGAAAAATGTATTTTGTTCAATTTTTTTTATTGTTTTCAGAGAGATATTTATTTAAAATATCTAAATATTTTAGAAAATTTCCCGATTTCCATAAAAATATTTTGAGAAGTAGGAGAAAATGTAGAGATTTATTATTTAATGGAATGCAATAGTAAAGGAATTTTAACTAATGCAATTTATATATGTCATTGCTAATAAATTTATTTTTATAAATTTTTTATTATAATAGATTTTTATATATAAACTAGTGGAAAAGGAATATATAAACCTTAATACCTAATAAAAAAATTTACTTGCTTTTATATGAGACAGTTATTAAAGTAAGTTTTTGTTTGAAAAAGTTCATTTAAAGAAATTTTTTAATGCCTAAAATATCAGTGTTAATGGGAATGAAATATTGCACAGCTGCAAAATTTAAAAATATTATTTAAAAAGAAGACATAAATAATACTTTTTATTTGTAAACTGTCACACCGGGCTATGTACCATTCCACTAACTCGTGCAATCCCACCCATTTCAACTGGACAATTATATTAGTAGACTTAAATTCGCGTATGCAAAAATTATGAATATTTGAAGAAAAAATACCCTTAAAATTAAAATATTTATAATTATAAAATATTACACCGAAAAATAAAAACTGATAAAAATGACACGAGTTTTCAACTGAAAATAATTCTTAACCCTACGGGGACAAAATGTGAAATTGTTATCAGAAATAATGATGAACCCTTCGCGAAAACTGCGGTCATCGCATCTGGTTGCAATGAGGGTTGATATAAGAAATCTGCATAAATTATTTCTATCTCGATTTTTGCAACATGACCTTATCAAAATTTTAAACAAGTCGACTTTAATGAAAGTCAACTGAAAAGGTGGACTTATCATATGAAGATGACTATAAAACGCAACTGCCTGGTAATATGA